ACACTTTACATGGCAGCCACTTTACCTGGCAACCCACAGAGTACAGCAGAACTCCGCCTTAACGACTGTTGAAACAAAAACAAATTTAGGGACAAAGACTTTTCGGTCGTAACACAGACAACCAAGATCCTCTTTTTAAAATCATGAGCGCAAAAAAAAACAAACAAAAAAAAAACTAATAGACTAATGAAATATTTCTTTTTTTTTTTTTTTGCAAAGAAAGGGTGCAGGCCTCTATATGGATCAAAACTACCAGCATTATTTTATCGGATTTTAGATTCTTCCTCTGATTAGCAGTTGACATTACTCTTTAACGCTGATCTGCATTTAAAAGCCTCATACAGAACACTACATCTATTGACATAAGAAAAATGTGAAAACTTTATCAGGTAAAAAGTTGCACATCATCATAAAAACATGGGGTCACAAAAATTACTTCTTATTGTACTTTATGTAAAAGAGAAGAACAGTCGTATCTCCAGAAGTAAACATATTCCCCACATCAGAACTGTAACCAGGAAAATCACCATTTGTTAAAATCAATTTCAGTACGGAGAAGTTGCTAAATATTGGAAGCCTCTTGTACAAAAACTAGACTAGGATGGCTGAACTTCTTACAGTTGTTTTTAAGCTTTTAACCTCCTTTACAGGAAAATATTGAACTTAAAAATGTTGTCAGGTTTTCTAAACACCTAAAAGTAAGGATCTACATTTGCTTGAGAAAAATAAAAGCCTTAATGTACCGATGTACACTGACAGTGCTAATTAATGACATAAAATGTTAAAGCAAATGATATTTCAACTCTAATCGTGATCCAGTCTCTGAAATAATAAGTAAAACCCTGTTTCCCTAAATCTTATCTCACAAATTGGCATTGTCCCTGCTTCTAAAAAATAGTCATCGGATGGTCAGAGGTTGAAAATAAAACAGATTGGAAACTATTCACCTAACTATTGGGTACAGTACTTTTCTTCATCCTTCACAGCTGTTTCTGAGTTACGACTTGCTCCGTCATTTGCAAAAGGTCTAATTTTGCAGACGCACAAGCTTACAAAACTTTATTTGGTGATATTAAATCTGCTTTTGTGGATACAGTTTGAGAATATTACATTATATTAGCTATAAATTTTTGCTTTTCATCCATTTCCCCGCTGTCTAATCTTCTAATTCCACTTGGTTTCCCAATATAAATCTGCTTCAGGCACAGAATCAAAATTGCATGTCTCTCTAAGGGTAGAAATGTGAAACAGCAGCCGTCCATATGGTGTGCATCATGAGCATCTAACTAAAATACAGCTTAAGGTGAAAACGCAATTGAAAGAGAACTAAATTCCAAATGGATGAATATCCCTTCCCTGCTTTCTCTCTCTTGGGACAATGCCACCCTCAAAGACTGGTGTTAACCTTCAGTGCACTTATGACTGACTATTAATGGCTGCTCAAGTGCCAATGAACATTACAGCCCATCTGTTATATAATGCTTTAGAACTTGAGTACAGATTACAGTGACCATGTTCCAATCCGAGGATTGGATAAAGAACAGACAAAAAGGATGAGATAGGAAGGACAAAAGTCATTTTTACATGTAGGCTGATAGTCTGGATGAGTAGAAAAGGGGGAGGGGTGGAAAAAAGAGGGTGCAAAGGAAGGTTTGCCTACTGTACTGCTGGAGGCTAAACGAGATGAAAAACGAGGCACTGATCCAGGTGGCAACAAAAGGTTATATCTTAAAACATTTTTTGGCTCTTGCTCCAGCAGGACAGTATTTTTCGTTGTCTCACCAGCAGCAGGAGTCGTGGCACTCATGAATCTCTAAGCCAGTGTGCGCCTTGTAAACAAATGACTCCGCACCAACACAAGTATCGTAGATCAAAGCTGCAACCATTTACTAAAACAGCAGAGGCAACTGTAAATTCAACCAACTGACACTGTAAACAATAGCTTATCAACACCACTTCATCACTCGTTCACATAGCCATCTTTTTGGCACATATTAAAAAAAAATAGAACACAAGTACAATATTTTATCATAACTTTAAAATGCATATAGAAATATTTCCTCATTGCTCCAATAGGTTACATGAAAGATGTTAATGTTGCTTAGAGTCTTGACTGAGACTGCATGGATTCACCTTCAGGAGAAGCTTTGCTTTTAACAGAAACTTGTAAGAACTTTGGCAACACTGCCGCTTGTTAAGCTTTTTCCAGATCAAAATATTAAGCTATAGCCAGTAAGGTGGGGGCAAATACGAACGGAGGAACAGCTGTTGCATACTAAACAGGAACCATTAGATCCAAGAAAACCTAAATCTGTGTGCAGTCTATAAGCCTATTAGTTGAACAGCTAGGAGGTTTTAATCACTGTCGTTCGTCTGTAGGGTCCATTATCCCAAGAGAATTATGGTGGCTGGCTCCTCTGTTGAGGTCGGAAGTCAGAATACTCTCATAACACCCAAACAGAGGTGGGAGGTGAAACTGTACAGGTCTGTTCTTGCTACAAACGTCATACTTTAATTACTATATATTGTTTTTTATCTATTTTTGCATTAAGTGGAAACGTTTAATTTCAGCATTTCATTTTCATTTAAAACACAGTGACAAATATTAGAGCTGTGGAGGAGCAGTAATTGCAACAGAAAACATATCGTCCATTTACTTTATCTTTCATGAGCAGAGCAGCTTTGAATCTGTAGGGGGAATTAGCATAATGAGAGAAAAGCAAATGAGCAAAGTTTCATGGTTTGGTAAAATGGCCACCCTCTCATACACACTGTAGAGGTGTTTAAATGTACACAGGTTCAGTCTGAAGTTTACATGCAGCAATAATGGGCAGCACTGCCATTAATTTGGAGCTTTTAATAAAGCAATATAACAGTTTCTTTGCTAGGGTTGAATAATTGCAGAAACCACTTCAATGATCTAATTAAAAACACAAGTTAGGAGGACAGAGAGGAGAATGAAGGAGCTGCAAATCCGTAACACCACAAGAATGTTTGGAGGAGTTAAGAGGAGGCCTTTAAATTTAAAAACGCTTCCAAGGTTACTGGTGGATGAGACAAAAGTAGGAGGAATAAAGAATGAGGGAAGTTAACTGCAGATTCCTCACTTTCACGTAAATTGGCAGTTAAATAGATAAAACTTAAAATCAGGTTCATATAGCACATCTGGAACAAAGACCTCATCCCTTTTGAGAATTTATGGACAACAGTAAAATGCTGGGTCCTTGAAAGCAAATCAAACAATTAAACAACTCCGTTATTTATCATTAAAGGTCAAATAGGAAGGAGTGCATCAAGGGTTAGGATCAGTTGCATTCAATATACCAAAGTATCAACGGCTCGCTTTCTCTGTTGTATAGCTTTAATAAAGTGCCTCATGGCAATAAAGCTGATTCAAAGCATTGTTTATTTTTTTATGAAATATTGTATTTCATAAAACAATGACCCTTGCTAGTTGCTCAGTTTAGCATAGCTGCAGCTCCAGACAGATTTCCATATCATCAGGGTCCGGGCTTCAGAACAACAAGAATCGCGATGGATAATAGTCAGTTAACGCAGGCGGAGACCCAGAGCTCGAACCCTACCGGCCCAGAACCATGAGCCGAACCGGGTAATAACCACATCTGGAGGGCAATGCTTCCCACCCGGAGAGCAGAAAATATCCGGTTCTTGGACCGCTCGATGTGATCGGGTTACCAAGGGGCTACCTTCCCCATCCAGACACAGCAGCGGAGTACAGCCTGCTATCCAGCACCGCCAGCAGTGCACAAAGGGCTCCAACACTGACCACTAGCCTTCATGCCCGGCCACAGCAACAGGCTGCCAACCGAACCAAACCCAGCCACCACAGAACCAATCTGAATCCCATGATTCCCTCTTAAAACAAAAGGTTAGACTCTGATTTAAACTAATGAAATCACAGAACCAAAGGGAAAATGTTCTGAAGGATAATGAACTTCCACCGGCTCTATGTAAGATCAAAGAACATTTAGCAGCGGTGATTAAACCAGCGAGCATTAATGAAACCACTAAGACTCTGATTGCTTCATATTCGTCCTCGTAAAGGGATAAAAACTCCATCACAAAGGTGAATAAATATTGACGCACTATGTAAAATGACTACTTCCTGACTAAACTGACGTCACGGCATCCTTCAGTGGATCGTGTGACCGAATGAGGATTTTTGGGTCGTCTGCTCTCTTGGTGAATTATTTTACGCTATAAATAACAAAATGATGGACATTTTTTCACTTGTGATATATTTAATTTTCTAAATACTATCAAATTAGAAACTATAAGTATGTGTTTTCTATTTGAACTTTAAGAGTGGGAAAATATTTCACTCTTAATGATGTAGCTCATGTGTGTGATTTCTCTAGGACTTGCTACAGGACATTTCTGCATAGTGGGGAGTTTTAGATATACTGACTATATGATCTTCTCTTCCTTAAAGCTGTAGGCTACAGTACACAGATGTGGTGAGGCGGCACACCCTCTATGAAGCATGACTGGTCACCGAATGTTTAAAATGAATGACATATAGACAAATATCAGCCCTCGCCTTCTTAACTTGACGATGGTTGGAATCAATCAGTCAGTAAATTACAGGGACTGAAAGGAATAAAACAACAGTCTTTTCAGGCATCCTTTCCATCACGTTGTCACACAAAGCAATAAACAATTCGAGCCTGTCTGTTGCAAATACAAGCACTTTTACTTTGACATGTTTAACTGCCTTGCTATATTACAAACCGCTGCAGCTGTTAAAGAGATGCCGGTCATGGCATTCTCGATCAATACCATTCAGACTGGGGTGTCCATCAATATTTTAGACCCAAACAAGAAAAAGATCTTAAAATAATATATATAAAAAGAGGTAAGATTAAATCACTATTAATGTCGATTCAGAAAAGTAAAAATATCGATCCATTCAGTGAATCTCAGCCTTTCTTTAAGCTGCTTTTATCAGCAGAATTCAGAGATTGTTTTTTAACACTTACAATTTTCTGCAGGTGCTTCTCCTTGCGGACGTCCACCATGACCAAGCCCTCTTTGACCAAGCCCAGGCCGACATCATCCTTGGTGTCTCCAAACTGTATTGTGACGTGTGGACAAGTGGCACCCGAGTACTCCACGTTCAGTAGACACTGGCTGTTCTGGATGTCGCGCACCACGCAGTCCACCACATCAGCACGGGCATCCTCCTGAAGAATGGAGGACAAGATGGAGGAAAAGGAGAGAAACGGCCATAATTAGTATATTAGTTTTGGTTTACATTCAGAGAAAAAACGAAGTGACAAATAAGCTCCAAGTCATTTTTTTTAATTTGTTTTGAAGTATGAATGCAAAACTTCATTGCATGACAAATAGATAAATAATGAATAAACTGGTGATTAAATGTAAAGTATGAATAAATGGAAGAATTTACTGTCGAACAACAGATGATTCAATGACGGATGAAATTAGGGCTGCAACTAACGATTTTGCATATCTAATAATCTATCCATTATTTTTTCGATAACCAAAGCTATTAATCTGATAGCCAAAGACTCTTTGAAGAAGACTTTAGGAAATTTGGTGAAGCTGGTGAAACTCAAAAGTTTTCCCCTTACGGAGTTCTGGATAGAGCATGTTGACAGACAATTTTTATTTTTTTTACTAAAATATAAAATGTTAATATCTTTTTACAATCTTGGTATAATTACTGCTCTAAGTGGGTTGCTCCCTCTGTGAAATGCAGGTTTTACAGTCTCTATACTCCAGTTAGCAATTAATCAATTACTAAATTAGTTGAGGATTATTTCAATAATCAATTAATAACAATTCATTTTTCTAAGCCCTAAAATGGATAAAAAGATCAGAGCATAGGGAATTAAAAGCTTGAAATACAAACTTTTCCTCACCTAATAAAGGTGACAAATTAGATAATTTTCTGACTGCCTTTGATGTGAAATATGTAAACAAGTAAAAATTTAAATGTGATTTTGTTAAAGTCAAGCTGTCAGTTCCTCCATCTACAGAGCATCACCAAATGTTGCCCCATCTTGATGACTTTTCCGTCTCATAACCCCTTCCTTCCTGACCATTTCACCTCTTCAAATCCACCATTTAACTGAACAGATGCAGAAGACTAGAGTGAAACAGCTGCAACTAAATCTTGACCTCATGTCCTTTAGCAGCCAGGGTGAAAATGAGACCAACGGGGAGTTAGCACCTTCAAAAGAAAAAAAATATATATCAGCTCCTGGCCATTAACCATCCCTCTTCTGCACCATCCATCTCTTTGCTACCCTTCTTTCTCGCCCTGGTCTTGTCTCCATGGTAACCCCCTTCCAGCTAGCCACCCTTGGGCATCTGCGCGTCTGGTGTATGTGTGCGTGAGCAAGTGTGGGCAGGGAGGCTTGTTCGAGGAACAAAAGTAAGAAGGCCTTTTTTGTCCCCTTGTCTCCCCGCGGTCAACTTGTCACAGTCGCTGTGGGGAAGCTTGGGGCAAGAGGAAGACGACCACAGATGAAGAATAGAGGAGCGCTTATGAAAAGACAATAGAAAATTTATAAGAGCCTTTTAGTTTCATCATCTTATGGTAAGTGGAACAGAGCACTTTAAAGCAGGACATTTTCAAATATTAATCCTGCCTAATTGCTTAGTTAAGATTCTGTATTTTTCCAGATGTTTACCTATAGAGGTGCCAATTCCTCATTTTTTCAAAATATATATAAAAAAAAATATTTTTACAATTGGCAAGGATTTAAATGTGATAGAAATGTCAATAGAATGGATAGGTTTATTTTTGTAGTGTTTTTTGCATATGTAGAAATTTATATAAATGCTCCAAAATCTATCAGGGAGTTATTAATGGTTCACCTATAAGTCAGTCAGCATTTCATCATGGCAAGGATTGTATTTTTCAAATCCAGCTTCAGCATCAAACACATATTTAATGTGTGTGGACACTGCTACAGGAATACCTCCATAAACTATTAGCTGAGTCATAAGAAGGAGCATCACAGGGAACTGATGTGAGTGTCTGAGGATATTTCTCAGACACATTTGTCAACCTTAACTTTGCAATTTTAACAAAAAAAAATATATAATAATTTCTTGCTGCCAGTACATTTTGCCATCACTTTGATGGGAAAAGTGCAGTTTAAATGATAGAAGCTTATAAATTCATCAGCTGCCTTTTCATTTGAAGAATTTCATCTTTGAGAAGCGCAAAAATGTTTGAAGAAATGGTATAAAAACTTTAAAGAAAAAAGAAATATAAAAGATATCATACCACCTAAATATGCAGGTTCTGCTGTGAAGTATCATGGATGTGACATTCATGATTCCCCCTATATGGTCCAAGTTATAGGGACACATTTCAGGTAAAAAAAAAAAAAAAGGAATAGTGGGAGTTTGCCATGTCTGACATTTCTTTTCGAAGATACTCTCACTTTACAGAATATCTGATAAAAAAATAAAAAAAACTGGCATAAAAAGTTAGGATTTCACCCAAATGGGAGACTGTTAGTCTTGGAATATAAATGTTTAGACAGAAATAAGATGCCAGTCATGACTTGGAAAGACTGATGTCTTGTGGGGGGCCATCAGGGGGCGGGTTACAGGAGAGAGGGAACAACATTTCCTGCAGAGGTTCTGTGCCAGCGGGTCACCATCCTTTCAGTGTGTCGGACAGCAACCACAGGAAACAAACAGCAGGAGAGGAGCAGGGTGTGTGCCACAATGAAAGGCGCTACAGGTTGTTGTGTTGTGTGTATTATGAGCTGGAACATGGAGGTAAACCCTGTGTCCCATGGGCTGCACCAACAGATGGGCTACTTCATTACTAACCCATGAGAGGTGAGAGCACAGACCTCAGGCTGCCAATTATTCATTTATTTTAAGAAAGAAAATAAATAAATGTAGTCACTTGTTAATTCATGACCTGCAAGTAACCCAAACTGAATGCAGAATTAAACCCAAAAGGCATGGACAAACTTTAGCAGCATGGCCAAACAAATCCTGCAACTCAATTAATCCCAGGATCATATCTGAAGAGCAGTGCATCTTCTGCTGCCTATGTGAAATGAAAATCTTCTAAAAGCAATCAAACACAGCAGAATAAATCCAGGATTTAACGCAGCGCCAACAAGGCCCATAGCTAAAGTAAACCTGCTTCTGTTTGATTTGTATGCAGTCGGCTCAAGATGCCGTCAATGAGCCGACCCCCTGACACACCTACACACTCACATGTTGTCACCGAAGGTTGAGTAAACATGATTATTGCAGCAGAAAACAGGGAAAGGTGCTCAACCATGTACATGCTCTACAAGAAGAAGAAGATGATATCTCTGCATAGGAAATGACAGCTCAGACTACTGAATAATTGAAGGGGATTTTATCAAATTGCTCAAAAAGAATACAGATGGTATTTTTTTGATCTTCCTGCAAACAAGAAAAATCAGTGACTTTGTTTTTGTCGCTGCCCTCTTTGCTTCTGTTACATCTATTAAATGTGAGCAGGCATCATTTTCACAAGACTGCCTAGAATGAAAACTCAGCCCGTCTATCAGCTCCACACTCATCACCCTGTGTGATTTGTGAAACTCAAACACTTTTCATGTCTTGCCAGGAAAGCAAACTTTCAAAAGTTGGCAGGGAATGAGACTGAAGAAGCTGATATCTCAGTTAATTTTGGAGCTAGTGGCTGCAAAGCGTGTCTGCTCCTCTGCACTTACGTCCTGTGGGACCTGGATGAAGGCAAAGGTGTACTCTGTGGCCTGTGCTGGCAGGGTCCTGGTGCCGAAGGCAGGAGGCATGGCAGCCAGACGGGTGCTTGACACAACTTCTCTCTGAGGAAAGACAGGAAAAAAGATCTAAAACCCAACGCAGAGCAGTTTTCAATATAAACGTAAACTTAAAGGTGTTAAAAACATCTTATTAAAGTTAAACCTCTCAATATTTGTCACATTTAAAAGAAGTCTCATGAGGTACTCTCTTGTGGCTCTTGGTATTTTGTTATGAGCCCTAGATGGAGTGATAGCCTTAAGCCGTACCTATATACACATTATGTTTGAGACGGTTTTCCATATTTAATTAGTTCTAATGTTTGTATGTTAATTTACCAGCATCTGCTTAAAGAAGCGAAGACAAGTGAGAGGAGTCTTGTTCTTTGTTGATAAACAGCTTCACATTAAAACTTTACAGCTTTTCTTAAGAGGAGGAAAGCCAAATATGTAAAAACTTCAAATAAATAAGCTGAAAAGCATTTATTTTAGGTCAATTACTGTTTTAAAAAGTCATGAATTTGTAAACAAGCCCTGGCAAGACACAAATGCATGGAAATAGATTATATCACATCAATTACAGTGAAAGAGTAGGGGAATGTTAATGAATGCACAAATTAATCGGTCAACCCTTAATTTTCCTTTTGACTCAGAACTTAAGTAAAAACTGGACAAAGTTTAGGGATATGTTTGATATATAAACTCATAATTTTATGGATTGCTTTAATTTCCCTTTGTTCTTTAATCATTCAAAACAAAAAAACCTAATTTTAAATCTCTTAAAAATCGCCATCATCAGGCCACACCTCCAAGAAATTTTTTTTTATATGGGCGAAGAAAAGCCTGACTGGTTCATCTCTGCTGCTTATTCTGACTGGATTTGACTTGTTTCTAGATATAAGCAACACATGAATAATACGCAATAAATGCCTATGGCATAAAATCTATAAAGTCTGTCTAAGCTCTGATAAGTCAGTGATCCATAAAGGCTTTAATGTGGACGAAAATCAGATAAATACAGGAACAGGAACTCAAGTAGTATCATAATGACCCTTTCATAGCTTCGGTTAATATGTCCATTGAACTGTCCAGTCTAGACAGAGGAAATCTCTGAGATTCATAATGATACAATATTAAGATTTATCTACATGATATTAGACTTTGATGGCCCTTTGAATGTAGGCTCTAAGCCTGAAATGACAAAAGTGCTCTGCTGTGTTTGCTAATGATCACATAATAATTCAGGTAGCAGCGTATACCTGAGAGAGGTGGCAATATTGTAAGCTAATAGCTCGTGACACAAGGGCACAAAATCAAGGCCGTTCTGACCCAACCTGAAATGACACAAAACTACGACAAATGAGGCTCTGCAGATATCGCTTGCTTTTGTGTGTGTGTGTGCACCAGGTCAGCCTCGGAGAACACCACTTTTAGCAACATGCCAGGATGCATTGCATCTGCCAGCCAAACCGCGGTCTGTCCCCCTGCTCTGAGGTCAGTCGCACACTGTGCCGCTCCACTGCATCATGGGAAAACTCCCGCAGGGTGGGGGTTGGCTGCATGAGCCACTCTGATGATGCAAGCATGTGCACGCACGTGGGTAGAGCCAAACATCACAGCCTTCGTCATCACAGAGTAAAATTTAACAAGAAATATCCAAGGAGAAACAAGCTCCTTTTGCTCATCCTTCTGTAACCATGGATGCTACAAACTTAACACTTTAAGAATCAATATTCTACGTTTTTTAAATAAATTTTAGAAGTGTCGACTTAAATTTGCACTAAAAAGAAGGGAATTTGGATGTGAGTGTTTAAAAAAAATTGTGTTTGTATGTATACAGTATTTGGGAAATATGGAACTACAATATTAATGCTGAATTCTTGAATGATAAGAATAATACTTTTGTTAAAACTGAACCACATTCTTTATCTGCACACTTCAAAAGTTACTTCTTATTTTGTAATCAAGATGTCCTATTAGATTTAGAACACTTTGTGTTTAAGGTTTGCAGATGCTGAAGTAGAAGTTGAGGTTTAAAGGCCACATGCAGCTAAATGACCATTTTAAAGCATTTAAAGGCCAGTCTACTCAGCATAAATTACCTGATTAAAACTAAAATCAAAGTGTACTTTTCCACACGAAGCAAAAATCCTTTTCTAAACTTTCTTTGCTTCTTTAATAAACAATACCAGGAAGAACAAACAAGCTGGCATTTTGTTTCTCACATACACTTCAGCTGAAAGGGCACTGAAAGACTACTTTGAACATGAAAATAAAAAGCTTAGAACTGAAAAAACTCCACAAAGATTAGAAAAGGAAAATCCTATGAGCATGTTTTTCAACTCTAAAGATCAGCACTTTGCTTTAATGAGACCACTTTCCCTCCCCACACACACAATCAGATTTATTGCCACAAAGTTACTCACGTTGCCATAGTCGATGTAGAAGACGTGAACCTTTGCCGGTGACTCAACTTTCTCCACTCGGGCTCTGTACCTGCAGCAGCAGAAGAATAATTGGGGGGAAAAAGAAGGATAGAGAGAAGAGGAGGGGGAGCATAGAGCATAGGGAAAGAGAGATGAAGACAGAGGGCACAAGAGGAAAAGGAGATGAGTAAATGATTCTGTGCTTATTTCCCTGGGGAGAAGGTGTTGGAGGATCTGTCTGTTGTGATCGGGGTAGAGGAGCGGGATAGGATGAACAGGCTGGGGGTGTGAGGCTGGGGTATGGGGGGGGGCAGAGGGAATCCATCAGGACACGGGCAGGCGGTGGAAATTGCACGGAGGGCTCTTTGCAATAAAAGGCAGAAATTTAAACCTGTTTTTTGCCTTGTAGAAAATGACGTTAGTGCATTAGTGCTAATCATCGAGACCCCGCAGCTTTTTCATTGTAACTCTCGATTTTCGAGCACATCTGGAAAGCTCAATTTCCATGAAAAATAAAAAGTAGAAGAAGGAACAATCTGTCATTGACAGATTAAATGACAAAACCAACTGCCTGAGTAACGCTGAAATTTACAAAGACGCTGCGAGAACATATTTTCCCTCCTTTTATATGCAGAGCATCGCCTCACCTAGCCATCACTCTAATCCTTGAATATAAGAAATATAGAAGAATAATGAAGACAAATTGACTGCAATGAGGAGAGCAGAATAAAAGGCCAAATAATTAGGTTTATGTGGGGGAAGTGAGAGTAATGAACAAAAACTTCTGGAATCAGAAGGAGTTTGAGAAAATGGAAGTGACTGATGAACAGAGGTTTGATTCTCTTAAGTTTTTGTTTCACGCATGGTAACAAATTTTAATTACTCCCCTAAAGAAACAAGTCTCCATAGTGAATGAACCACAGAACACCCCAATACAAAGGAAGAACAATGCAAACATAATTAGCCCTCTGAATGAAACAAGGCTGCCAGAAACACACAAATCAAGACTTTTTTTCTGCAGTTTTAATGACAGACATTTGTTTTCCATTGCAAAGATAAAGACTCCACTTCCTGTTTAAAACGTCCCCTCGCTTGGACTGGTGACATGAAGCAGATTAACTTATGTTTTGCACTGAAATCGGGACAGGAAGATGGAGGACAACACCTGTTTTGGATGAACATTTGGTTTTTAATTAGTTTCATGATCTTTCTTTCCCCACCCTCGCCTCCTTGACATACTCCCCCTCCCTCCCTCAACATCAGTGACTTCTATCTGTCCCCCATGACCATCTGCGAACTTTAAACACCCAGTGAAAAGACTCAAAGAAGAGATTTTTGGCTCTTGCTGCTAAGAAACTCCTGCTTCTTAAGAGCAAATCAAAGCCCGATAGGTGACTGCAATGGATGCATCACCTGCTGAAAACAAAGTTGCTCAAACACCAGATGAAACGAAAAACAAAAAGAAATGAACAAATCCCTTTGGCAACATGTGATGCTTTACGGGGAAGTGTTGGCTCCTGCTATTAATGTGGATGTTTTTCCTGGCAGTACCAATAGACCCTCCCAGCGGTTGCCTATCCCTGTTGGCTTCCGAGTGAATAAGGATCTCTTCTGCACACAAACCAGACAAAAGAAATGAGCCGGAACAGCGAGATCAACAATATCCCCAAAAACACAAATTTAAGGAAAATATCGGTAGAATGAGAGTTTAGAAGGAGCAAAAAAAGGCCAAATAAGGCCAACGAAGAAAATAACCATGAGGCCTGAAGATAGATGTTTGATGGGTTGGAAAAATATAACTGGGCAAAAGTACCAGTTAGGAATGCACAAATCAATATTTCTTCTTTTCAAATAATATGCTAATATTTTAATTGGGGCATCTGCAGATTCTGATATGTTTCCAATATTAGAGCTCTGTTTGCTTTACTGTCATCATCATTAATGGTGTTTTAAAGACACTGAAACTTTTCTCTACAAGCAAGTTGGATACATGTAGGGCTGAAACAATTAATTAATTTGAATTAATCATGATTAATTAAATAATCATCAACTGGAATATAGAGACTGTAAAAGATGCCTTTCCCTGACAGAATGACACACTTAGAGCAGTAATTATAACAAAATTGTTGAAAAATATATAAACATTTTACATCCAAAATATTTGAAAAAAAATTTTTTTCATCTTTCAATATACTGTATCTGGGTTTAATTTCTGTAAAAAACTTCTTCAAGGAACCGATTATTAATTGGAAAAAGTCAAATCAAAGGATTAATCTATTCGCTAAATAATAGTTAGTTGCAGCCCTTCATTAATGTAAACATATGTATCCCTAAAGGTAACATGGGATTAGTATGAGGTTAGAAAAGTAATAGAAACAGAAAATCATGATAACAGGAGGAATTCCATCCTGAAAACCAATGTCGCTGTCTAAGGGGTGAAAGTAAGTATTTATAAACTCAAAGACAGATTTTCATAAAGAGGTCAACTTTAGCTACTGCTGCTCAAGAGATTTTTAAGCTTACTTAAATGTAGACATGTTTAAACGTAGAAATACTCTTGATAGATCTGTTCCCAGGGATCAGGCCAATTTTCAGCAATACTAAATTTTTTATTTCTTTAAATTTTAGGAGCAATACATATATTAATATAAGATTGGTGAATCTCTAGTATCATTAAGGTTTTCTAACAAATAGTCAAACTTTATGACCCCAAGGTCAAAAGCATACATACCATTCACCATCAGCGAACTTGGCTAGGCAATAATCCCCTCTCCGTGCGGCGTAGGATCCTTCAACAGGTGGATGGGCAGCGATCTCGGCTCTCATGGTTTCCATCAGACTCTCCAACTGGGCTCCTAATGGAAACACAGATGGGTGAAAAGTTAAGATTCTAGAAGAGTTGTATCTAAATATACATTTAATCATTATTAGATATGTGTCACCACTTTATTGTCACGTTTCACAATCAGAATAAATGGAAACCATAACGTTAGGAACGATCAAATGCAAATCGATTAATCCATCGATTATTTTTTTTTATTATTATCGATTAATAATGGTTTGACAAAAGGTTCTTTAAAGAATATTTTTTAAGAAATTAAACCAGGTGAAACTAAAACATTTCCAGTTGATCAGTTCTGGATAGATCACATGTACAGATGCTTTTTTTTTTTTTTTTCTAAATGCTATATATATATATATATATATATATATATATATATATATATATGCTCCAAGTGGGTCGCTCTATCAGCTAAAGCCATGTTGTAGGGTCTCTACACTCCAGTTAACGATTAATCAACCACTAAATTAGTGTACGATTATTTCAATAATTGATAAATCACGAATAATCTGATTAATTGTTTCAGCCCTACTTAAAAATAATACTCAATGGTGACAAAAACAGAGATAGACCAGAATATAATATTGATATTTCAGCTCAAGTTAACCTTAAGTGTTCCTTAAGCTAATCCAACACAGCATAAAATCATTCACTAAGTGCTTTATATGGAAATAATGAAATAACAATTTAGCTCTGACAGCACAAAGCAACAAGAATCAGGTCAAAAGCAATTTCAACACCTTTACTTGCCGACACCAAAATGACTAAAAGAAATGCTTTAGTGGCTTTTGTAGCCGTTAAGCCCATTAAAACTACGGAGCTAATCGTGCTTTGACCCTCATGGCGAGGTAGCGCTTGGAGCAAAGCTAGCTGTCCCAGTGGGCCTTTATGGCCAATCAAGCCATTATATCATGTGCCGCAGACCTATTATGGTGGATTCAAGGTAAGAATGTGGCTGTCAATACGCTGGGAGACAGAGGAATCAGATAGTGAATCACTGCTTCATAGAAAACCAATGACTGCAGTAAGTGGCTGCCTGATTTGCAACCATCAGTCCAAATTGGAAAGCTGAATGTGTATGTGCATCTTCCACAGAGCTACTTCTCTGCTCCCGGTGAAGGGTTTTAGAGACCGCTTACACAAGCCGTGTGTTTTGGTGGGGAGCTACATTAAATGTATGTAAGCAATTACAGCAGCTAGTTTGGCAAAGTGGCCAAGAGGAATTTCCATGGTGATATTTTTAGAGACCATGTTCACAAATCAACCACCTGGAGGGGGGGGGGTCTACAGGCAAGGAGGCCAATTAAATGTATGACTGAACGTCTTTATTCAGACATTTGATTGACCATAAACCCAAGCAGGACAAATGTTCTTTACGTCATTGGTTTCCTTTAGGCACTTAAATTATACTCTGTTAACACTGAGGAGCCTTTGCAGAAACATTAAATAAATGCAGCCGGTGTAGTTTTGCTGATGATGCATGTTACTACCAAACAAACAGCTTGCAGGCAGACACCTTTATTCTATTTCTGTACAACCGCTCCTGGTCGTCATTAGCACCTAATATTATTTATGCTGGTGGAGGACAAGAAAATATGAATAATGATCCTGTTTTCCCACAGTTATCTATGCTGAGACAGGCAGACAGCTGCCAACCAACGGCTCTGGAGACATTCATTTGCATGTCAAACTTGGAAGGGAAAAAAAAAAGGAAGGAATGCAGAGGGATTTATTGAGAACTAAAGTGGAGGGAGAAAGCAGGGGGCTCAGTTGGATTGTGGATATTGAGTACAGCGGTGTCCTGATATTTTGCTGCACCACTGTTATGCTGGTAGGGGATAACCGCGACTCTGATGGCACGCTTAAAAGTGATCCATCATATGAGTGCAGCATTTAACATCCGGATGAAACAAAGGCACTGAACTGTAGGAGATTCAGACACTATTATATTCTTTAGTGAATAAATACTTAATCTTGAGTTTAAGCTGAATTCTTGCTTTATTTGTGCATCTAAAAACATAAGAACATATCTTGTCCTGCTCTTTTTTCAACCTTTTGAGACCGACCCAAAATGGTTTGACCAATTATATTGCAGTATTTGGTTTGATTGCAAGGTTAAGGAACACTTCATGTTTATTGGATTGACAGAGAATTAGAGAAAATTATAATATAGAAAGGTTTAGCATCTCAGGGCTGTTTTATAGAAGGAACACTGGATTGATGAGGAATAGCTAATTTCAGAATTTCCAAACAAACTTAATGTTTGTGTACAATACTTTAACGTCAGGTAATTATTAGAGTAATGATTATAAGAAGCTCCAATTAGCTGGTTAGCATGCTGGATTTGGGCTTTGGTACCAATGGACAGAAGTGTCTATAACATCAATGTCCAGTTTTCCCACTAGAAATACTTTCCAACATCCCTCATGCACACAACAGATGACCAATGTGCGATAACAGCTGGGAGTTGGGCAGTGCCGCATTAATTAGTAAGTCTGAAAAAGGCTTAAAGAACCAAACTTTTTGAAGAAAGCAGCCATATAAAACTGAGAAATGTAAGGAAACTTGCATAGGGCTGAAACTATTGATTAATTTAGATATTTCATCAGTGAAACAAAATATACTTTTACTAGTTTAAACACCTCAATAACCAAAAGGTTTAAGCTCAAATATTTTTGTTTAAAAAAAAGAAAAAAAAAGAAATACCAGTTGAGTTCTGTATAAAACATGTTTACCGGCAAGTATTTCTTTTTTCTTTTCCCCATAGTATTTTTGGCTTAATCAGTGCTTAATAAGTGCGTTCTTTTGGTAAATTACATGTTTTAGAGTCTGTATAACCAAGTTAAGGAATATTTGATTACAGATTTCTTAGTCCATTATTTTTTTCTTTGTGATTAATCCAATTAATAGTTTCAGCTCTTTTCTAATATCAACAAAGACCATATGGCACATTCCTACCACTTAGTTTTGAAAGCAGCAAAGTATTTAGACAGAAAGTGGCTCTATTGTTTTGATAAGCTTGATGACTTTTATTTCTCTCTCCCTAGACTGTAGGCATTCATTGTTATTAAGTTCTGGTGGTAAAAATGTCTCACATATGAATTAGTTGGTTACACTTGACATCAATTTATATCCAAGTGTGATTTTCCAGTCAAGTTTATTGTTCTGCTTTATTTAAGGAAATAAACAGGCTTTTCTACTGTATAAGATTTAGTGCCAAGAAGCACTAACATAAATCAATGATCAACTGACTGTCTTCACTAATGTGATCAGTTTATTTCTTACAGTAAATGCTGAGTAGTAGAGGAAAATTGAGCAACAGTCAAACTGGCATGGAGCCATTCTTGCAACATACATAGGAACGTTCGCAACCTTGTTCACTGCCTCAGGTCCTTTTGAACTTTACCTCAATAAAATAACAGAAGCGGTTTTGTTAAAGAGGACTGAAGGTGTCGGCTGAAGAAGAAATCCTTAAATCTTTAGCCGTTATGAGTTTTAATTTTCTTTTACACATAAGCTGTGTTTGAGCATAAACTTCAAACATCGCCTTTACCATTCCCAGGATTTTAAGCTGAAAATGGCTAAAAATGCTGAAAAAGAAAGGAGAACAAGAGCTTTCTGTAGATATGATGCAGACATGCTATGTTGACAATGAAATATTCATATGTACATGCGCTGAAATTTCAAAACCCGCTCCTGGGTATGGTACGAGTAGGGGGAACTTAAAGATGTTAACCAGAGTTGCTCTTAGACTGGTTTTGAACTAGTGAAAGTCAAGGATTACCGTTTTCCAGAAAAAAGGTCACAAAATAAAACCTACGCATATCGTGAAAGACCGAAATTAAAACCTAAATCTAGCTGTCAGATCCCACTGAAACAAACAACCTGGAGTGAATTTTGTAAAACAGGTTCAATTCTAAAAAGCAACAGTCTGAGAGAACAACAGCTAGAAAATGCTACTACAGAGGGAGATTCCTAGTCAATGCTGGCAGTTGGACAACCAAATATCTGCTTGCAGAAAGGGTAAACCATGTCAAGCATGAGTGCTCATTTCACGTTCAGGCAAGAGCCAAAGCAATGATCAAAAAGCAGCCAAACCAATGACTGTGTCGGATCCAAGCCAAATTATTTTTATCCTCATCTCTTTATCCCTTCGTCTTTTCTCTCGTCCCTCATTCTGTAATTTGTTTATACGTGATAATGGCTGCAGCTGTTTGTAAATCATATATAATTACATTTTGAATGCTGAGCATAAAGTGAAGGACCGATTAGGCTTTAAAAGAACAAAACATGGAGAGTGCAGAGGGGAGAGAGAGGAAGACAAGGAGGCGAGTGATGGTTTTACAGGTTGGTTATGATCATATTCCATTATCTTGTGCCACATGGTGTGGAAGCCGAGATGAAGGGGTGGGAAGACAAAAAGCCAATGAAAACAGCAGCTCTAGCTCCCTTTGCAGCAGGCTCTAGTTAATTCTATTAGGCTGTTTACAGAAGGATAAATAATTACAGTACGACAGAGACACAGGTAGGGGCCAAGGGAACAGTGGTCGCTTGTAGAAGCAGTCCAGTTTTAATAATTATAATAATGAGCTTAAATGCAGTCTATCTAGAAGAAACGACATCTGCAATATGAGCAGGAAATAAACCAAAGTCTTTAACACAGAATTTTGGGAAAATATCATTGTATGCATTTACATTCATATGTCCATCACAGTAGACATTCTTTGCACCTACAGTTGTGTGTGTGTATATATATATATATATATATATATATATATATATATATATATATATATATATATATATATATATATATATAATGGCTCATTCAGGTTGAAAGGTGAATGTCTAACAGGAAGAATGATTCTCATTTTGATTTAGGCTGGGCCATATGCTTTGTAGATGTTTGGTGTATCTTTAGGGTTTATTTAGGATAGCTCTGTATTTAGCTCCGCGCAGTTTCCAGTAGGTTTTTGCTTGATCTTTGCCTAAGCAAAACCAGGGTCATAGTAT